CCAAAGTCAATGTCAAGAACGTGGATCTGACCAACATTGCTAGCAAATGTTGCCAGCAAAATGATTTAAAAAGATGAAAATTAAGGAAATAATTATGTCATGATTACTAGCAATACCCAGAGAGGCTTTTTTATGTAGTGAGAGTTATATTATATAGATGAAGGAGCAACTGATGGAGAGAAAATGGAAGCAAGATCTGAAGTCAAGTTCTATAAAGGTTAGTAATGAAAGGAAAAAAGGAAACAGAAAAGGAGTGAGAAGAGGCTTGAGAGCTTCAGCTTATTTAGAAAAGCAGAAAGAAAAAGACTAATGAAAAAAATAAAGAATGAGGATTTTAGAAAAGGATTTTTAAGTTTTCTAGTAAGGATCCTCCCAAATGAGAAGACCTCCTCTCCAAGACTGCACAGAAAAGGTGAACTCAGGGGCAAAGATTCATGAAGGTGGAGGGAGAAAGGTAAATTGTGTGTGATAGAGACACTCCTTTCACTATGAGACCGATTTTCCTCAGTATGAATAATTCAAACTGTTAACAGAACTTTATTACAGGCACTGCTGCATTATCTATTGTTACAACCTGTTCAATTCTAACATTCCAGACCTAACAAGACTACTGTTGCTTTTTTCCATCACTAACTTAAGTTTCTCAAGCCTATTTAACACCACTAACATTAGCACACCTAAATTTTCTTCTGATAGCTTTATTTTACTTCTCAAAATGTATAATGCTAATAACACATGGAATAATCCATGGAATGTTTGGCAACACACTGGTTAACTACAGTAAATTATCTAGGCAGTGTCTATACTATTATTAAACATTAATACTGTCAACTTTTGCAATTTCAGATGACTGAATTATTTTAAAACCAAGAGTTCATATTTTTGTTCAAGAAAGAAAAACCAGAAATAAACTAAGATTGACCACCACAGAATAATATCCGTGCCTTCTGCAAAACGCTATCAACTTTCAGAATTGAGTGTTAGGAAGAAAAAGATCTTCAATCTTATGATATATGTGATGAGTTGTCAACACAAAATGACAGCAGCTGTCAAACTTAAGTTTGCATAAAATATGTGTTTGGGGTTCACTGCAGTATTGTTCTAATTTTAACACATGTGAAAGAAGCCGAGAAATGGTACTTTTCAATAATTTTAATTTTTTTCATAAATAGATAAAAAAGAAGCTCATCTTCTTTCGACAATTCAGAGTGAGACTGTCCATAATCCTCTCTTTCCTCCCAAGTCACATGTATTTTTGTTAGAACTCAATATATCATACTCTTGGCAGCTCCCTTGCTTGCTTCCACCTATTCTGAGTTTGAATTTTCTGCATGACTGAATTCACCTCCAAACTATGCAAAATAAAAGTTTTCTCGCTATCTAATAGATGTGTGTGCTGTGGTATCACTCGGATGATGTATGTTTTTATAATAAGCCTTTGACTCATTCAGGGTCAGGCTAGCAGTAGGCTTCCTTAAATATGATACTGGAAGCATAGCAATTCATACCATAATCTTCATTTTTAGAAATAAAAAAGTAAAATGGCCACTAAAAGCTCACGGTGTGCTAGTCAGCCCTCCTCCTCTAGAAGGTGCAAAACAGCTCGCCTGTTAATAATGCTTTCATGAGAAGACTCTCTCGAAATCCATTTCTATCAGAAATGAGCTCCTTATCACACAAGAACAGGTAAACAAATACCATAAAATACTACTTTCCCACATTCTGAAGGACTGATCCATCTAATGATCTGCAAAGAAAATCCAGGACCTCATTTTTAGGGGTAAAAACAGATGTCGAGCTAGAGGGCAGAACGAGGCCAAGAGGATCCCCAGTCTACCTGTATGGCGGTACTAGGTTCTAACCAGTGTGGCAATCTTGGCTATTTACAGCTGCTAAAAAAGCAGTTTGGCTGAAGCCTCCAGGTGAAGGTTTTCATGTAAACGTGCCTCCTGACATAAAGGGCTCCTCCTGCCTTCCTGAAGAAAATGAAAAGTGAAAAGCTCGCTCCTAAAGCTTTGCCACGGTCCCGGTGAGCCCTTGGTAAATGTTAGCTGATTAAATATTGGCCAAAGATGACAAGGTGGGCACCAGGGACAGCGGAACCACTTCCGCAGAGACTGTGACTCAGCAACAGGCAGGGCGACCGCAGTGACACGGGGGGACCGCAGGGGCCAGGGCGCCCCGCCACGGAGCCCACCCACGCTGCGCGCCGGGGGCTGGCGGGGGGGCGGCTCGCCGGGCAGACGACACGGCCTGGAAAGCTGAGGGCTCAGGCTGAAGGCGGTGCGGCACTAGCCGCCGCGGCCCGGCCCAGGCAGCCCCGCGGGTGTTCCCCGCGTGTGCCCGGCCGCCGCGTCGGCTGACTCAGCGCCACCGCAAGCCGCGCGCGGGAGCCCGACGGACACCGCGCGGCCGCCCGTGTACCCAGCAGCGCGCGCACGCGGGAGACACCGCCCCGCCCGTCCTCCGGCTCCCGGTGATTGGCGGTGGGACGAAAGGACCGGAGCAGGGCCAGGGGCGCTATTGGCTACAACCCGCAGTCACTCAAAGAGTCAGGAGGGGAGGGGCCTCTTCAGGGAGGAACACGACTGAGTGGCTTTTTCAAGGCCGTCAGGCGCCATCTTTAGCTTGTTTTTTTGTTTTTTTTTTTTTCCTGTTTTGTTTACTCGTTTTTTGTTCTGTGCTGTTCACAAAGCTGCGTGTACACGATTATAAGTACAGTACAGTGGCCGCAAATAGGCTTCATACATTTGGTGGCGGGAGGTTTTTAGTTCCTGCCGGCCTTGGTTACAGATCTTTTAGCTACAACTAGCAAGTGGCAATTTAGTTCAAAGAAGTTTTCTTCTCTAGGGGCCCCGCCGATTCCCAGGCAGTCGACCGAGTTTTGCTCAGCTTTGCTTTAGTAAAGGCCAAGCCAAAGATAGGTACGTGGGAGGAATTCTCTTGCTCACAAACGCACAGCAAGGACCCTGGAGATGAGCCTAGGTTGCTAGTAAGAAATAGGAAGTAGGGACTCCGAGTGTACAGCTCTAGGACGAGCTCTCCATTTTCTAAGAGGCTAAAAAGTATGTGGTAACCTGCCGTGAGGCGGGGAAAAAATTAGAAGGGGTAAAACACCATTAAGAATTCCCTGCACTGCTGCCATCACAAAGGTCACTAGATTCTGACTGGGTTTTAAAGAGACACGGGTCTAAACTTGTGGAATGATCCACAATTGAGACAGTATTTATTAATCACTGATCTGCCTTGCATGGTAAGGGAATGAAAATACAGATAATATAGGCAAGAAATCCAGACAGCTCACACAGGACTACTTTCATTATAATGAATTTTAAGACCTGTTCAAATAATGTTTTAGGTATCTGAAATACTGCTTGGTGCTGAGGAATGAAAATGTATCATAAAGGTTTTGTTGTAATGAAATTTGAACTCTCCAGTAAATTCTTTTTTATCTTCAAGTTGCTACTTCACTTGTGACATTCTAGTTTCTCCCTCATCACCCCCTATGCTGCCTATACTTTTTCTCCAGTCTTCCAACACAGATTTGAATGTATTTTCCATATAACTCCTAATAGGAGACAGTGGTACCGTAACAGGATGAAGTGAGAATAGCAAGAGGCTCTGCCCTGAGCCTGTTGGCCTCTAATTCACTTTTTTCATTGACTGTCAGACACGGGCTGGCTTTTTCATTCCCAAAATGCAATATGATGACCAAAACGCATTTCTTATCCCTCCTAGCTATTATCTGTCTCGCCTCTTCTTGGTCCCTCCCTCACCATCACCACCACCAGGTTTTTGAGAATTGGACGTGACTGGATATTTTCCTGGTAGTTTGCCAGCTGTGGAGCTTTTCAAACAAATCCCACCCTATAACGAACATTTTGTCAAAAAGCCAAGAGAGAACTTCCCTTCTGAACACACGAACCAAACCACACATAAAGGCCAAAATATACACAGCTGTACATTTAAGAACGAGAGACAATAATAAGCAAAACCACTTAGGCAAAACAGTCACTAAAGAAGGCTTTGAACCACAGTCAATAAATTGCCTACCCTCATTTGCCACATGGACTGTACACTCCCTGGCAATTATTTAATTATTCACTAATCTGATCCTTTACAAGAGGAGCAGAAAAATAAGTAAATGCATATAAAGTGAAAGTGCTTAACTATGCTAAGCATAGGCTTTCTTTTTAACTCTGCTTTGCACATGAGATCCTGTTTGGATCACATTTGGGAACACAACAGAAAAAAAATTCACATCCCAGGGGCTACTTTGCACACATAAAATCAAAGGTAATCACTTTTGAAAATAATCTGATGTGGCACATATACACACACTGTACATATACATAAAGAACAAACTCCCAAGAACAATCTTCACGAAATAATTTGCTTCAAGAAACTCACGCACACACGTTTTCATGAACATGTGTGCAAGACACACTGCAAAAAGGGCTTTACCCCTCTCCCCAGGGAAATGAGTGTCTCAATTGTAATATCCAAATATTTTTAACCTATTGCCATGGGACAATTGCCATATTCAAGCCACTTGATTTTGGTTCTGGGGGAGGGTGTGTAAAACGCACGCAAACAGCTTTGTGAGTCTCAAATCTCCGCTTCCTTCGATGTTGCCGTGGCAGAAATTTACATTATCCCTTCAGCCCGCTTAAAAAAATAAATCTACACTTCCCAAGCGGCTAATTTTTTAAAAACCCTCGACCATAAGAATTTAAAATGTGACAGCAAAAAGAAAAAAAAATCTCTATCAATTTGGCTGGAAACAGTTGTACACGGCCATCCTGCTTCGGAACTTCTTGGTATATTTAAAACCTTGACCAGGAAAAAGAAAGAGGAAGAGAGAGAGAAAAAGAAATGGGGAGAGCGCAAATTCCCTTTAGCAACAGTTTCCTCACCCCAGCACTGCCACAGATCTCAATTTTCAAAATTTTTGAACACACACACAAGATTAAGGAGGAAAAAAAATGGAAAAAGGATACCCGAAGGTCGTATGGCTCTTTGTATTCGTGTGTGTGCAAAAAGGAGGACTCGCGGAGCCGGAGCCGGCAAGCCCCGCCCCTCCCCGGGCGCCCGTCCCGATTGGCCGCCGCCGGCCGCGGGAGCCCCGCCCGCGAGCACACGCGCCGCGCCCCAGGCGCTGGCCCCGGGGGGCCCCTGAGGGCCGCCCGACCCCCGACCCGGAGCCGGTGGGGTCCCGACCTTGAAGGCCCGGGTCTCGCCTAACCTCTTCCCTGCCTGGTTCCCCTTCCTTTCACTTTATCCTCTCCCACCGGTTCTTCCTCAGCACAAGGAAGCCCCAGTCACAGGGATAAATATCAGTCTAGTCAGCCAGCTCCGGAGAATTTGCTGAACTTGGTTAACTAGTCAGTAAAACTCTAGATTGGGGTGAGGGAGTGAAGGGAGGGACTTAAGCATCGAGAACCTGGTGCTTGGGCCAGAGCTCATGATTTCCGGGGGGAATGTCTCCTCCTGGTCAAGTCTATTGCTTAACACTCCCACCTTCGAATGAATATACAAATATGTCACAATCTTCAGGTGCAAGAAAGTAGTTTTACACTTTGGAGGTTGTTTTTGCTCAGCCTGAGTCCCCAGTTTTTCTCTCTTTGGCTGAGATACATTCTCAAGAACCCGAAATGGCTCCCCTTTTCTCTCCTGCGTGAACATCTGGTTACTTAGACTGGATTTTAAACTACCCATAATCTGGTACCACCCCCTTGTTTGTTCTTAGTCTCCGCTACCCTTTACGCTGGGGTGTAGTGCCAGCAAGGCACAGAGCAGGTTTCCTTAAAGGAGGAGTCCTGGAGCCCTCAGTGGCTCTTTCAGGCTTTTAATGTTCTTTCTACACCATTTGTAGTGAGGTAGGCAGGGAGGCCTGGGGGCCTACCAGCCTCCTAGCACCCACCCACAAATCTTCACTCTAGCACCTCCCTGGTGGTGCAAGGGGATGAATGCAGCACTGTAAAGCTGTCTGCAGCCACTGCAGCAGGAGTTCGATCCCTGACCAGGGAGCTACTCTCCTGACTTGCCCACTGCTCCGCTCAGCAGTTTGTTTCGGTTAATCTGCCTGTTCTGTTCCCTACTATGGTGCATCCTCTCACCCCCCAACCCCCGCACCTCTGGCCTGTACCCCAGTTCTTGTAATCATAAATAAATAAATTTTTAAAAAATCTTCACTCTCTCTGGGCTCTCTGGCCTTCTTTTCTGGTCTCCCGTGGGTCTCCAATGCACTCTGCCGCAGAGTCCTCTGCTGCTGCCCTTACATGCTCAGTCTCTGCTCGGGTGGGCCCGCCTACGCACACCCACACCTGATCCAGGTACTGCCATCAGGCACGCATGCAAGACCACACGTGTCAATCACTGATGCTAAAGGTGGGAGAGCGGAAAAACCTGATCATTTCCATTTACCCTACAGCTTGTTATTTTTGTTCAACTGGCCTTGTCTGCCTGGAATAATGCATTTCTCTCATAACCAGTCACCTTGTGTCCATTCTAGTTAGTCAACACAGACCACTTCCTTCTCTCTTGTCCCTCCTATCAGCATGAACGTCATGCTTAGGTTATATGAACTTAATTCTAGCTTCATTGTCTCACATAGTTTAGTCATTTCTCACGAATAAGTTGTTTGAGATCAGAGATCATATCAAACTTATTTTTCCACTCAGGAACGGTTTGTTTTTTTTTTTTTAATTCTTACTACAGCATAATTGTAGACATTTTGTAAACACTGAAAAAAAAATCACTTGTAATTAAACGAGTGAATTATTTTTTCTAGTCAAGACATAAACTTTGAAACTCAGATTCCACAGAGTACCTTCTAGAGTATCTAATGTCATGAGCACTTACTGTGCAGGGACTATTCTGAATATTCTATTTACATTATGCAATTTAATCTCCATGGTAGTAGGTAGGTATTACTGTATTATCCCCATTTTATAGATTAGATAAAGGCAAAGAGAAGTACAATAATTTGACCAAGGTCATACAGCTAATAAGAGGTATTTGAACCCAAAAATCTAGTTCCACAGTCCAAGTTCTTAACCACTATGCCTCACTGGCTCAACAGAACAACATTTTGAAAAATTATCTGATTTCATCCTCACAACACTCCACAAGACAAATGACATGGACACTTCCAAAATACCAATGTAACCAAACCACACACAAAAGGGAGGGGGGACTGTTCTAAAAACGTTAAAGGACAATAAAGAGATTTAACAGCTAAATGCAAACTATGTTCCTTGGTTGGATCTGGGTCAGGGGAAAAAAAACTAAAATGATATCACCAAGATAACTTGGAAAAATTGAATGTGATTATTGAAATATATGAAATTAGGGTCTGCCTGGTGGAGCAGGGGTTAAAGACAGCGCTATCAAGCTGTCTGCAGCTACTGCAGCATGAGTTCGATTCCCCCCAATCCCCTACTGGCCAGGAGCAACCCACATGGTGCAGACCTCTCCTGTCTCACCGGGGAGCACCCCTCAGCAGTGTATTTTGGTAGTTCTGCTCCTCACTCTGTCTCTGGTGAATCCTCTCACCCCCTGCACCTCTGATCTGTCCCCCAGTTCTTTTTTTTTTTTAAAGATTTATTTATTTATACAAGAACTGGGGGACAGGTCAGAGGTGTGGGAGGGTGAGAGGATTCTCCAGAGACAGAGTGGGAAATAGAACAGGCAGACTGAATGAACCGGCACTGCAGAGGCTGCTGACAGCTTCACAGCGCTGCGCTCAACCACCTGCACCACCAGGGAGGTCCACCCCAGTTCTTGTATGCATAAATAAATCTTTAATATATATATATATATATATATGAAATAGATCACTTGATTGTATTTGTGTTAAACAGGGGGCTTATTGGCACCCCCATTTTACAAGAAGCATGATCAGAGAGCGCTTACTACAAGAGTTCAAAGCTAGCAAGTGGCAGAAATGATCCCATAAACCAGCTGCCTTATTCAGCCCTACAGATTCAGCACTGGCGGTCAGGCCTCCTCCACACAGTTGCTGGTTCTCAAGGCCAGGACTTTCTTGGTAGGATCCAGTTCTCAGCAGAAAGACCTGTTCCTCCAGTGTTATTTTCATCCATCCTAGAAGCACCCCGGCTTATGTGGCAGCCCAGGCAACAGCTTTGCCTTTTACTGAAAATGAAGTGGCAGTGTTTATGTTCTTGAGGGTTGTAGACTTTCTGTGTTTCCTTTCACATGTTTTTCATTAAAAAAACAAAAGTTCGGGGCCTCCCCGGTGGCACAGCGGTTGAGCGCTGGGTTGCGAAGCTGCCAGCAGCCTCTGCAGCGCCGGTTCGATCCCCGGCTGCTCCCCAGCCACCGGAGGAGGGTCCCACATGGCGTGCAGACCTCTCCTGCCGCCCGCTGCTCCCCTCAGCAGTGTACTTTGGTCCTTCTGCCTGCTCTGCTCCCCGCTCTGGCTCTGGTGAATTCTCTCACCCTCCCGCGCTTCTGACTGTACCCAGTGCATGTATAAACAAAAACAAACAAATGAATAAATAAATAAAAAAAAAAAAAAAAACATGCCTCTATAAAAAAAAAAAAACAAAAGTTCATGATATAAGCCAGCCAGGAAATCATTAAGAAAATAATAACTTGATAGGCGTGTACTAGGATATCTCAAATTCTCAAATGTACAGATGATCATTTTCAAATGTTAGGATGAAAGGAAAACAGAATTACTAACAGTTGTTAATATCATTATTATTATTTTTTTAAGATTGATTTATTTATACAAGCACTGGGTACAGTCAGAAGCGTGGGAGGGTGAGAGAATTCACCAGAGCCAGAGCGGGGAGCAGAGCAGGCAGAAGGACCGGAGTACACTGCTGAGGGGAGCAGCGGGCGGCAGGAGAGGTCTGCGTGCCATGTGGGACCCTTGCCCGGTGGCCGGGGATCGAACCCGGGATCGAATCGGCGCTGCGGGCAGCTTCGCAACCCAGCGCTCAACCGCCACACCACCGGGGAGGCCCGTTAATAGTATTATTTATTGCGCACTTAGTTGGTGCCAGGCACTCTATTTCATTTAATCAATTCTAGGAGATAAGCACTATAATACTGCCTCTTTTACTGATGAGAAAACCTAGAGTCAAAAAGGGAAGGTGACTAAAAACACGCAAAAACACTAACTTGAAAGAAAACCTGCACTCCTATATTTATTGCAGCACTATTTACAATAGCCAAGATATGGAAACAACCCAAATGCCCCCAAATAGACAAGTGGATGAAAATGTTGAAGTACATTTACACAGTGGAATATTACTCGGAGATCAAAAAAAATAAACATGTCATTTGCAGCAACATGGATGGAGCTCGAAGAGATTATGCTAACCAAAATAACTCAGAAGGAAAATGATAAGTATCAGATGGTCTCACTTATATTGGAATATTGAGAAACCAAACAAAAGGTCAAGAAAACGCCAAAACTAGCAAGATGACCAAAGATCTGAGGCACCGAGCAAGGGAGGGGATCAAGACATGGGGATGGAAGAACACAGGGAATATGGTGATGGTTCCTACATGGGTGATTTGGTGGCAGGAAAAGTTTGGAGACTACAACAATGTAGGAAAAAAAAAAAAAGGGAAGGTGACTTACCTCATGGTTGTTGAGTGCTTTAAGTGGTGGATTCAGAACTTGAACTCGGGGCTGCTGACCCCAGAATCTGTTCACTTGACTTGCTTTAGCTCTCCATTATTCTCTGCTTTAAATGAAATCTGCTCTGTCTTACTCTGTTATCCTCTTTTGCTCTCTTTTTCTGAGTTCCTGAAAGACAAACTGTCTCCACTCTGATTATCAATAGAATGTTCATAATCCCCACCATATGGTATCTCCTGAGATGGCTTTTTTTTTTTTTAAAGATTTATTTATTTATACAAACACTGGTTACAGTCAGAAGCGCGGGAGGGTGAGAGACTTCACCGGAGTCAGAGCAGAGAGCAGAGCAGGCAGACTGATGAAGTACACTGCTGAGAGGAGCAGCGGGCCGCAAGAGAGGTCTGCGTGCCA